TCGATCATATCTTTCACTCCACTATTAAGTCAATATAAATCGAAAACTCCTTTTCGACTTATGAGTACACCTTGGCCAAGGATTTCATCATTGACTTAATTGAATGAAACGCAGATCATAATCTCCTACTATCTAAGAGTGACGAATCCTTTATTGATCAATCACAACCTTCATACGATTCTTGACGTACCCGAACGATGTCGTATTAGCGGCCCTTTTCAGAGCAACATCCAACACCGCCAAAGTATGACTGTCCTCATATAAGGTACCATGACGACCTCAAGTCAAAGGACCAATTTCACTACCGAACGTTAGAGATTAACCACCGACACTCAGATAGTTATCCATGTGGAATCTCTCGACGGGTCTCCAATGTTTTGTTCTATAACAAACATCCACGTGTTCATTTAAGTGTCACCACACTTTAACTTGTGAGATCAGCTACTTACTTCACAAGTAAGAAATGCCACACGTGATGGTCTATCCGTAATAACGATATCCGTATCTCGTTATTACTTACGACCACGGATGATTTAAGATTCAATCAGATGTAATTTGTATCTCACAATCACAACTCCTTGTGATTAATAAATTACAAATATTTGAATCTACGGACTCTATTATTTATTTAATTGTCTATTAATTAAATAATAGATCTGCCATTTAATTACATTAATTATATATAAAAGTATTTATGTCCAAAGTCGATTGGACCTAGGGCATAATACTTACAATGAGCACGTTCTCAACCATTCCTCATTGGTATTTAATTGATTTGTCTGCCAATTGAAGGGAGATGGATGTGTCATTTAGCTCTTCCAATCCTAATTTCCTGTATACAGAGAAAGGCATTAAGTTTATACTTGCTCCTGAATCACATAAGCAATTAAAATTCAAATCTTTTCCCATTGAGCAAAGTATTTTGAGACTCCCTGAATCTTGTAGTTTAGGAGGTAATTTATTCTGCAAGATGACACTACATTCCTCATTTAACTTGATGGTCTCAAAATTTGTGAGCCTTCTCTTTTTCGATAGGATCTGCTTTAGAAACTTTGCATAGTTTGGTATTTGAGATATAGCTTCAATTAGTGGAATGTTATATGAAGCTTCTTGAAGATATGCAAGAACCTTGCAAATTGTCCTTCCAACTTCATCTTTTGCAATTTCTGTGGAAATGGGATAGGAGGCACATGAGGTTTGATAGGGGCAGTTGTCTTAACCTGTAGATTTTCTGACTCTTGATATGGAACTACTTTATCTAGCTGTTCAGATTTATCCACTTGCTCCTCATCTATGGAAGGTACCTTTTCATTTACTTTCACCCATCTTTCGACTGTGATTTTGTGAAAGTTGAATCCCACTGCGTGTAGTGATTGCCCCAACCTCCTCATTCTCTACAACTTTTACTGCCATTACCTGCTGCTTAGGATTTATCGTAGTGTTGCTTGGCAATACTCCTTGTTGTCTTTCTAATAGTGCTTTTGCTATTTTCCCCATTTGATTCTCCAAATTTTTTATGGCAGCACCCTGAACTTGCAAGCTCTTATCCGTTCTCTGCATGTGTTGAGTGGATATTTCTGCTAACTTAGTCACAAGATCTTCTAACGAAGACTTCTTCTCATTCTACTGAAACCCGATTGGTGCGGTTTGCTGTGGCGCGATCTGAGCTCCCTAATTATTACTCCATTGAAAATCTAGGTGATTTCTCCAGCCTGGGTAATATGTGTTAGGATTTGGATTGTGTTGTTGCCTTTGAAAATTTTGAGTGTAGTTCACGTCTTCTATCGTCTGAGCAAAAGGAGATCCTACGTTATAATCAACACTCTCACGGTACCCTCCACAATGTTTGCATTTCAGTCCCACTGTTTGTGCTACAGTCATCTGATCTACCTTCTGTGCCAATGATACCAATTGTGCTGAAAGTGTTGTTAAAGAATCAACTTCGAATACCTCAGTAGCTTTCTTTCCACTCGTTCTTTCAGTAGGCCAAAGTGCACTGGTAAATGCCAAATCCTCTATCCTTTGGTAGACCTAGTCCGCAGTTCTTTTTGTGATAGAACCATCGCACGCAGAGTCTATGTTAGCCCTGCTAATCGGGTTCAAACCAATGCAAAAGTATTGCACTTGAAGCCACTTCTGCAATCTGTGTTGTTGGCACTGACGAAGTAAACCCTTGTATCGTTCCCAAGCCTCTGAATAGCATTCTAAGTCCATTTGCTGAAAAGTGGTGATCTCATCCCTTAGCTTTGCAACCTTTTTTGGTGGGAAATATTTGCTAAGAAATTCTGACTCAATTGGTTCCATGTTGTGATGCTCTGCTGTGGGCAAGTGTCTAACCATTCCCTTGCTGAATCCCTCAATGTGTATGGGAAGAGCCTTAGTCTAATTGCTTCGCTTGAAACCCCCGGATACTCAATTGTTGCGCACATGTCCAGAAATCTTGATATATGAGCGTTGGGATTCTCTGTGGCTTTTCCAAAAAATTGTAGTGCATTTTGAAACATGTTGATGACATCTGCCCTCAGGTGGAAGTTTACCTAACCAAACGCTGGATATACGATACTGGACTGACTTTCCACTACCGGTGGAACCATATACTCTCCCATGAACCTTACGTTTTCATTGACTGCAGCGATATTCAGTTGTGCTATTCCTAGATTAGCCCCGATGGCTAATTGATTCGGATTTTCATTTGCCATGTCTTCCTCTTTCTTTTTTGATGTATTTCAAGCTGTTGTCTTCTTCGAGAGTTGAATGTTCATTCGATTTCTGGGTCAAATTGAGCAAGATTACCAGTTCTCGAACTTCACATATAAAGTATTGAAAAAGAAAGCAAGAAACACTGTAAAAATTTTCAAAATTAACGAACTAAACTAAAAATAAAAAAATTTCAGATTAACGTTAAAATTAACTAAAACTAGTAAAAAACAATAGTCCCCGGTAACGGTGCCAAAAACTTGATTGATTGATTACCCGCAAGTGAATGGGATTGTGAACAAGTAATAAAGTGGTTGTAGAGTATCGAGCCCACGATGACTAAGTGTTTGATCGAGTTAAAGCTAATAATTCCCTTAATCGAATAGCAAGGTCTAGTTGTAACTAACACTATTAAATCTATCAATTAAATAGAAAGCAAGTAAAAGTTTATCAAATTTGTGAGAAGTATTGCTAAGATGTGGAATCCCCCTTGCTACTCCATTTTTAGTTCGACAATTTGAAATCATGCTTGTTGGTCAATATTCCTATTTTAATTGAAAACCTCTCTCGATAGTTATCAAACCTATTCCCCTCATGCGACCTTCCTATCCCTCGACAAAAGATGTGAACATGATAAATATATTAAACAAGTTAGAACATCTTATAAAAATCATATGAAGCATAGAGGTATATTTCTATCCTCTATCGAACCTCACAATATTTATTATTTTGTGCTAACGATCCTATTGTCTCTCTCGATAACAACAAAATTCACAAACAATTCAACTAGTGGCCAATTAATTGAAAAGTATGAAAACGATAATAAACATCCAAACAATTAAACAAATTGATGTCAATTAAATTATTCAAATTAAAAATTCATAACAAGGGTACATCACATCCTAGCAAATATGAAAAATTAGCATAACATATTTAAATTACAAGAAATCATATATAAGTGGGAAGACATAATCCGGATTTTTGATAAATTGAGAAGATGAAGACAAATCTTGAAATCTTGAATCTCTTCAATGGTTTTTTAATAGATCTCCATTTGCGCTCTCTCTTCTTTGTCCAACATCAAGTTTGAATTTTCACTTGATTGAATTTTTGCAAGTCCCCTTCAATTCTCTCACAACAACAACGAATTCTCCTCCTTTGATGATGATAATTGATGAATATTGGAGTATATTATGTCTAAGAGAAAAGTATGAGAGCCCCCTATGTGTATTCTCTAGTTTGGTATCTGTAGTGGTAAAAAATTGGTGAAAAATTACGTCCAAATTGGTTTCCAAAAGAATAAGGAAAGTTACACTCGCTCGCGGATTTTTTGTCTCTACACAGTAGTCAGTATTTTGATCATAACTTTGTCTCCCGATATCCGATTGAGTTGATTCAAAATGAGTTAGAAATCTAACTAAAAGAGCTACAATTTTCCTTGACATAGATATTTTTAAATTCGAACGTTTACTATGCCAAAAATTGGTCATAATCCTTGACTAAAAATCTGAAAAATATATCATGTAATTGGAAGTCAATTTATGATAATATTCTGATGATATTTCATTCCTTTTTGACTTCTAATTGCATCCAATTGACTCCCATCAATCTTTAAAACATGTCTTATGGTCCAATTCAACCATTGGATATTTGTAATTTGGTCCTCAACTTTGTACTTCGCCATTTTTCGCCCTTTTTCACTTGTTTCTTTCGGTTTAACTTCCAACCATCGAGTTTTACCTAATAAATGAAATATACAACAAACTAGGCTATAATTGCTTTAGAAAACTATTAAATGTCTATATTTTTAGGTCTACATAAGTGTATAAAATACACTTATCAATGACCACATAACTTTGGTCTTAGGTTTATCCTTACTTGTTTTAATTTTGGAGAGTTAGGACATAAGAAAAAGCTATTTGTACACCATGCTATACAACATGGTGTACAACCCCCTCATATGTTGAGGGAGCCCACATGAATATTAAATTTGTGGGCCCCCTCATTGTGAGGGGGCTGAAAAAGTGTGCAGCACTTGGTGCTGTACGCTAAGTAGCTCTCTAGGACATATCATGCCTAGGTGTCATAAATTTCTGAACAAAAGTAGAAATTAGAACATCAATAGAAATAAAGATCAACGAGTCTAGTGGAATTTTCTAGATTGAATCGTACTGTAAGTTCTTAGTAGTAGATATTACTGGTTTGGTCCCAAAGTTTTTACCCAGTTGGGTTTCGCCGTCAACAATTCTTGCATTATTTATTGCTTTCACATTACAAACTATGGCAGTTCAACGTAGGGTAATTTAACTTGTTTGATTAACCATCTAGACACAATTAAAAAGTGACTTGTTGCTTTTAATTGTATAATTTTGCACGTTGGGTCAAAATAAATTCACTAAATAGGACCTTCAAGTCAAACTAGAGCTTTTCAAGGATTAATTCTTCCACTAGACAAGTTTGGGTAAAAAAGAGTGATATGAAAATCTTGAAATAGATCACAGTGCTCTTAAAAGTAGGAGCGTTTATATACCTAACTAATTAGGTAATTCTAGTGCGTATTTGTGCTTATTCATTGTGATTAAATCATTATCACATACATCTCATTTTTGTACTTGCTTTATAGGTAGTAGGTTCATGTATGTGCATCTTTATCAGGTTTGCATTGGCATATGCATATTTTTGTTGTTATTTTGTGTGTTGAATTTTTTATTTTGCATTATTGGTGCATTCTTTTAAAAAAAGAGCTTTTTTTTTTTTTTTTTTTTTTTAAAAAAAAAGTTTTTTTTTTTTTTTTTTTTTTTGTTTTTAATTTTTTTTTTTTTATTTTTTGGGGATTTTTTTTAAAAAAAAAGTTTTTTTTTTTTTTTTTTTTTTATTCTTTATATTTTTTTTTTTTTTTTTTTTTTTGTTTTTAATTTTTTTTTTTTTATTTTTTGGGGATTTTTTTTAAAAAAAAAGTTTTTTTTTTTTTTTTTTTTTTATTCTTTATATTTTTTTTTTTTTTTTTTTTTTTGTTTTTAATTTTTTTTTTTTTATTTTTTGGGGATTTTTTTTAAAAAAAAAGTTTTTTTTTTTTTTTTTTTTTTTTAAACTGCAGCATTGTATATGACAAACTTGAAAGTGCCTCTTATGACCAAGTATGAGTGTAATTGATGTGCTGTAGTATATTTTCGATGATTTTGTTTAGATTTTTATGGAATACTTAGTATAGATTTTTTCATGTACCATCTAGACTGCACACACTATGATATTGCTAATGGGACTTGACCCTTGTGTGAAATTTGGGATGGTAGTCACATGTTGGTAAGGTGATCTTTGAGCATGAATTTATTTTATTTTAGTAGACCCAAGCTCAAGTATAATCCCTTATACGAAAAACTCAATATCTTATTCTCTTTTTTCGGAGATTATTTGACTCGAGTAATTAATCCTGAACGATTTCTCATAACCTGGTGCCTATGGTCAACTGATTTGGGTTAACTTGCCTAAAACTCGCTACAGGTCATTTTAGTCGCTTAATGGAGAAAAGCTTGTACATAATACATAAAAATTAAAAAGAAAAATGATGAGCTTGAAAATATAAACATTGTGTAAAAATATAATATACATGCAAAATGAGCTCTTTTAATAGGCCCTATATGCTACTTTTGGTTTGATTTTCATAAGTAGAGGGATAAATTTATTGACAATGACGGATAGCATGTCATTTATTACAAAATTAAAGTTTGGAGTGCTGCTTACAAATGATTAATGACGCTTTACACACATGCGTCACTTATACAATTTAATCCATTTTAACTTGAATTAAGTATGTGAGAAAGTTTACTAATCATTGATTATGCTTGTGCATGCTATCGATTGCATTTTTGAGTTATTACGTATTGGTGTTGAATTGTATTTGATAAAGTTCCATTCATCATTTGTGACAAAATGGGGGAGAGAGATTATAGAGTTAGAGAAATTATATAAAGAATTGGAGAAACTACAAAGAGATTTACATTTGTATTTGATTGTATTTTTGAGAGAATTTGTAGTAAGAAGAAGAGATGATTGTAAGGAGATAGATAATTGTATTTTTCAATCATGGCATTTCATATCATAATGCATACATTCTTTGAGTTTTTAATGTTTGATGATATTAATGTTTCAATTGGTGTTTTGATTAACAATAGTATTACTTCTCAATCTAACTAGCATATTTATGATAATGTGTTTCAATTGTTATATTTTCTATATCACGCGCTTTTACACTTAGTATTTGAGTTGTTGATTTCAGGACAAAGAATGCAAGAGACGATGTTCAGTTTGGGTTTGGGTAAACTAGTTTGATTTTACTTCCTTGATTTGTATTTTATAATTTTTTACAGAATGTCAAGGGGGAAGTTTGTTAAGATTTTATTGTATTGACAATTCTTTAGACAAAATGACTAATAAGAAAAGTATTAAAAGTCAAGGAGTCAATTGAAATATTGTATAAATGAATTATGCAACTTAGTGTTCGAGTTCGAAACAAGGAGGAAAGAGTTGTCGGATTTAAGCTAGCCTATCAACCATCTAATGCTCGAGCGAAAAAATAGTAAATTTCTCCCGTCTATTACTGAACTATTGCTCGAGCTGCACACCAGTTGCTTGCTGGCACTCGAGTGACGGAATTATGCCAAAAATTCTATTTTGCATTTTTCGAGAGTTTTATCTAGCCCATACTACCTAAATGCCTTCTAATATATATATATATAAATATAACTCCTAACACGAATTTTGAAGTGGTTGCTCATTATAATTCTCCTACATATCATCCTTGATATAAGAACACATTCAAGCTTTCGATTTATTCATTGATTCTTGAATACAAACACCCACATATTTTGAGAAAAAAGTTAACTTCATATAATCCAAAATACATTCTTCCTATACAAATACATGAATGTACTTTCTCAAGAGATTTCTGAGGTTGTTTAAGATTAAGAAATGTTGGACCAGAAGCACTTAAAGAGTACAAGAACAATAACTTATTGGTGATCCACAAGATATAGACAATTTTACTAAATCGAGAACACATATGAGTGAAGCACATTCCGGTGGATCTTGAAGATTACAGGTAGTAGATCAGCAAGTCTAGTTAAATTTTCTAAACTGAATCATACTATAAGTTCATCATTGTTTATAGTGTAGGTCTTGTTCACGGTGTTCTTACTTAGTTGGGTTTCTCCATCAACAATTATTATGTTATCTATTGCTTTCATAGTACAAACTAGTAGTTCAATGTAGGATAATTTGACTTGTTTAATTAACTATCTAGAAACAATTAAAAAGTGACTTGTTGCTTTTAAGTGTATAATTCTGCACGTTGTGTTAAAATAAATTGGCTAAATAAAACTTTCAAGTCGAATTAGAGCTTTTCAAGTGATATCAGAGCTTCTCAAAACCTAAATATTTTTTAAAAATAAATTTTTTATGACATTACTTATAAGTGAAAAAAAAAACTACTTAATAGTAAATAAAATATTACTTTTGTAATAGATAAATACTTATTTTCTACTTTGCATAATGTGCTTTATAATTTGTGTACTTACCACTGATTAGACTAGTAGGTAAAATTTAATGTTATATAGTTTAGACTTGAGATGATCATTGGTTCTATTTTATTTTTACCTTGTCTATTTATTTATTACTTCGGAGATTTATTATCTAAATTCCTTGAAATATCTTTAGTCATGCTCCACTTACAAATTGTACCACATTGATCATTGAGCGAGCAAAATGCATAAACATAACAAATAGAGCTGTAGTTTAATCAAAGTGATGGAAAAGAAAGTAGTTGGATGGAGGAAGAAACACACAACTAAAATTAAGTCCAATGATTTCTTTATATATGAATATAGAGACACTCAAATACATGACTTTCTTTAATGATTCCTCAGAATGCTTCTATTTTTCTTCTTTCTTGAATTTATTGGTGATGTAGAATAGGTTGTTGAATGGAGTGAAGAAAAATTAGATCAAAATGGAAAAAATACTAAGTGTAGTATCCGAACATCGATTTGGCCTCAAAATATCATTCCACGAAAGAGAATGATGAGATGTGTGGAACCCACTGCTTCATTGTAAAATATGATAAATTTTAACCATCTGAGTTCATTTAGGATTCGAAAACTACTTCCAAAATTTTATTGCTATTTTTTCTCATTTAGTTTATTTTGAATTATTTCAATTTTAGTTTGCTTAAACTGTATTTTCATGTAATTCCTTATAAATAAAGGGTTAATTCATTTTTTTTATCATCTTACATCAATAAAATTTCATGAGTTTATTTTCTTCGTAATTTGGTGGATTCCAAAATTATGTTTCTAAGGTTTTTGCTTGAATCCTTTGTTTCACGCAGTGTCAATTGAAAACCAAAACAGTAGACTGGGGAGAGAGCTTGTTGACCTGAGAGCGAGATCCGAGATTGTTCTTTGCTTGTTGGTGTATTCAGGTACAGACCTAAAAACTTTTTTCAGTGCGGACAATATTAATATACGTGAAAAAATAACAACATTATAATACAATCATTATACTAAAAATGAAATACCTTATAATTGTTCTTTACTATTTTTCATACTTTTGCTATATTTGTACAATCACTTCATTATCAAAATAGATAGAAAGTTGTGCAACATCAAAATCGTCTCTATTTGACATCTCCACATCAACGTTTTCCACATCCTCAAGAGATTTTCTTTTATAAAATATTTCCATGACTATTTTCACTATGAAATAAACAAGAGTTAATTTAAGATGTGCCATATCATAGAAGAACATCCAATACATACAATAGAATTAGGCAAGAACGAAGCAAAGAAGCAAAATAATCCAAACAATTCAAATCCACTGCCCACATATTCATATCATATAGGAAAATAATCTAAAACTAATTTATATCATACCAGATTCATATCAAAGAAGTAAAATAATCCAAAACCAATCCAAAAATTATATTCCCTGGGAAAATAATTCTTTACAATAATATGTAATAAATCGTAAAGAAGCAAAACTCTGAACCGCACCGTCAAATCCCTTTATAGTTTCTCACACAACAATCCAAACACACAGTTTTATAGCATATATATGAAATTTCAAAAAATTACCTGCTTCCAAATTTAAAATTTTTATTCTGCTTTTACAATTTATTTTCTTTTTGGATTATCAGTAAAATAATTATTGTATTCTTTTGGAGAAATTGGTTTCTACTAGGTAAATATTACTCTAATGTAGTAAACAAAATGTATGCAAAATATGTTTATATGGGCTGATGAGATTTTGGTGATGATTGATGTGGTTCTATTTAGCAACGCCATTTTGGTGATGATTGATGTGGTTCCATTTAGCAACCCCGGTATTGAGAGAGCACTGATGCTCCAAACAGGGGCAATATTTGATTTTTATCTAAATCAAAGTTAAATAATTTATATTAACAACATCATTCATGGATCCCACAGCCTTTCAACTATACATTTCAAAAATTTCTATCACTGTCTACTAAAAAATCCATCTATTGAGTATTGTTTAGTTCAGCATAATGAACATGCCATAAGTATATGTCGCGTATATAATATTAAACATGACTAGACGCTATAACGAGCATAATATTTTTTTCCCTTCCTTACTATTATCATGTGTTATTGAATCCTCTCTTCTAAGCTTAGCATTTTATAAATAAGGTAGATGCATTGAGATTCTCTTTTGTGCAAATACATATTGGCTCTGTCCTCAATTTTCTCCATATATAGAACAACTCCATTTTTTGGTTACATAGAAAAATGATGAAAAGGCGCACTTCCATATGCATTCGCGAAATTAATTCTTTAACTTCATATTTCAGAGTATAATAATATGTATATATTTTTTAAAAGATACTTAATAATGTGCGTAAAATGTGCATTTTGTGAGTTTATATAATATCGATTATTCTATAATACACCCAATATTACTTATGAAGCTGATTTTAAGCTTTGTTTTGTTGGACGATATTGAATTACAATATTCTATTATCATATGGTATAATTTAATATATTTCATATTTGGATTATGTAAATTAATATATTGTACCATAATATGTTTTGTGCTAAATTTGGAATGTATGATTTAATATATTCCAAATTAAACTATATTGGGTCTTCTGCTATTGGATTGGAAATAGACCCCAAATATGAACAGAAAGTAATTAAGATTTGACAGACTGTGATCAGCACAAGACCCGAATCCTACGGCGGGCGAACAATTCGTTCGCCGTGTGGTCATATTTCATCTCTCGACATGTGTTCTGTTTACCTTGGTTTGACTAGTCAAAGTTATATTACGCGACTGCTACTCCTCAGCCCTTGCGCCTCCCTTACTTATATTATGTGTGTATATATAATCCACATGCAAAAAAAAATAAAAAAATAAAAAAATTCCATTTTTCTCTCTATTTTCACACAAACAAGAAACCGCAGCCATTACTTTGTCTAACAAACTTCCATATTAATTTGATTCATTCTTTATTTATACTCATTTAAGGGTAGGGAAAAACCGAGAAAAGTAGGGTTGAGTTTTTCGCATACAAAACAACATAATAAAACATGAGTGGTTATGGTTTTTATCAGAGAGCATCAAAGGCTTATCAGAGCCACCCTCATCTGTATAAACTGCTTGTTATCTGCACTGTCAGGTTTGAATCCAGACTTTTCGTACGTTTAGAAACGTATCTTCATTGTGTTTTGTAAATTTTCATTAATTTCCACTATACATATAATATTCAATTGATTTAGATAAGAGTTTCTTTGCTGTGTGTTGTAAGTGGATGAAAATTTTGATAATTTTCGTACTTTGTGTGTTTGTCACAATTGTTGCAATGGTATTGAATTATATATTCTAAAATCCAAAATTGTTAATTGTATTCACGTTTATAAATTAAAAATTTTTGTTTTCTTACTCATCTCTCAAGTGTAAGTCATATATATCAATTTATATAATCTCTATATCTAATAGCCTCGGTTTTCTGGTTCGTGATAGAAGTACGGTATACATGAAGCATAATTAGATTATTTTCCCTCTTACCATGTAATGAGCCAATTTGTTGCCAACTCAAATTTGCTGGTAGTCAATTTCCAAGTATTTTTTTTGACATCCCTATGTTTTCGAGCCACTCTGAGTCTCAAACTACAGCCGAAATTCACCCCATAGATGGACTGTCCTTGGCCCACAAACTGCGGCAATGGACTGACCCCGTATCGGACCAGTAGCACTTGGGCCCGTCCCCTCACAAGGCCTATTATGAAAAATTCCTTGAGCTTATCCAATTATTTCTCACGAATCTAAGAAAAGCCATTATACTAGAGAGTTCTGTAAACTTTTATTTTTTATTTTTTATTTTCGGAACATAGTAAAGCCAGTTTTAAATAGTCTAATTTTAAGTAAAAAGTTATGAAAAACACATTAATATATATAATACTAGAAATCTTTAAAATTATACACCAACTGGTTTTCCTAAATTAAACGAGTCTTGGTAAATTTGCAAATATAGTATCATTAAGAATATCATTATACTGGGTTTAAAAATTCTCTTCAGATTTTTATCATAGCAAAGATTTTAGAGATTTCAATCCTAGTAAATTTTTGAATATAAATAAATGTCATGAACCATTGAGACTTCTACCTTTTTAAAGGAATAGATTCTATAAATTTTAGCTTTAAAAAAGTTATTTCATCAATTCGTATCTTTCGTTCTTGTGCCTAAAAGCCTCTTAATCGTGTAAATTAGTTACGTTGTTTAGTATGTTCGTGTCATTTTCTTGTGGTAGAGTGTCCTCAAACGTGTATTTATTTATTGAGGTTATTAGACCTAACCCCTCCTAGTTTGGACTTTTTTAACATTATTCAATTTGTCATTCTTATAGTAATTCC